CCGGTGAGGTCAGAGGCTCCCACCAGCACAGCAGCTGATAGGGGTCTGTCCTTTTTCTCCTTTTTCTCTTATCTAAATGTTATCAATCACCCTTCAAGACAGGTGCACCAGCAGGGTATCATCAAGCTATGTTCTCTATGCATTTTCTTCCACATTCTCTTCTGAGCAGGACTGCAGCCACGTCTTGGACCACCAGGATGTGAGAGCTGGCCACTTCCTCCCAGGCTAGGTCATCAAACCAATGCCAGGGCAGGAAGGCACTGACCACACCTATCCTTAACCAAAGGCCACAACACACAATTCTCACAGCAGCCCCAGCAAAGGACCCCACTACCCAACCTGAGAGGAATTCACTTTAAAGCAGCACACACCTCAGTCCCCTGTGTTCCTCCCTCCCTCCATCCCTCTGATCCCTCTTCCGCCTCCTCCTCTGCAGGATGTCTCTGATTTATAATTGTCTGTTTTTGCTTTGTTGCATTTTGTACTATTATTATTTTTTTACACTGATGTCTTATTTGGTTCCCCTATATTCCTGCTATAAGTGAAACCATCCAATATTTTTCTTTTTCCTTCTGGCTTATTTCACAGGGGATTGAGGTGATGGTGCACAGGTGCATTGGTGAAGGAAACTTTATGGGGACTACACCTGAGGGGATGGGGGAGGCAAATATTGTTAAAAATGAACAATGATGTAAAAAAATTTAAAAATTATTAAAAAATAAATTATCAAAGCAGGGGGAAAAAAAGCCAGCACACACATATATGGAGACTACATAGTGAAACCAGCAGCAGAACACAGGCAGTAACCTAAAGCCATATGAATCCACTTCAAAGTCCTTCACATTTTCACAAGTGTTTGTATTAAATTCTCAACACAATAGTCCAAATATTATAACCCACAGGTGGTTCAATCAGAAATAGCATTCAGAAGAATAGGTCTAGTCCTTAAAAAGTTTAGAGATAAAATTCCCCCAGTTAGTCACATCATCCCATACCGACAACCAGCAGAGAGCGATAAGTAACCGCTGAGTCTGTTCACTAAATTTGACTTCACAGCAGCAGTAGGAGATGTGGGGTCTGCTCAGCTGCCCTGCTGGCTGCTTCAGTGCTGGTGACAGGTGGTGTGGGATCAGAGAAAGGAGAAAAGAGCCTGGAAGCCAGCAATAAGGATAGGGGTCTCTATTCGGGTTTTGCGGAAAGTCCTTTCAACAGCTGCCTCTCTTACAAGTGGCATGACTCACCTCTCTTCCTCTGGGTAGTCCACACACCCTGCCCAGAACAGGAAAAGGAGCGGAGGTGCACGGCCCTATTGTGCTGGAGGTTCACAGTATTCGCTATTTCCTCCTGTTAAGGGCACATTCACACCCTCCACCTATCCTGCTAATCAGATGAGATCACATAAAACAATACTGCTAGCATTCTCCCTGACACTGAATGTTATTTTTTTTAAGTTTGTTTAAAGGTTTTATAAATGTTCCATTTGTTAATTATTCTTTTTTGGGCCAGGCTAAAATCTAGATAGAGGCACACCCAGTATTGGCCTATTTGTAGGTCGATTTCTTTATAAAAGTGAAAATTCAAAGTCCTTTATTTTGAGATCACTGGATTACTTGGATTTTTCATGGGGATGCGTATGCATGACTTTTTTTCTTTCTCTGTTGTGTCCATGTTTTCCACAATGAATATATAGTATCCTTATAAATACATAAGCATACTAACAATGTTAAGGTAGTTTCTCAACTATTTTAATCTAGTCTTATCAGTACTCTTTCATATTCCTAAAATTTTGTTTTCTAGAATAACATAGAAAGGTGGACATCAACATTCTTGTCAACAGAAATGGCAGAAAAGACAACATTTTTTTAAGCTCCATAATTATCTGGAAGACCCATGTGTTATACATACCTTAAAATATAAGATGCATGCCTAGCCATATTCTACAGAAAACATATAACTATATTGACTTTCAATTATCTGAAGGATAAATCACCATTTAAAAAAAAAAAAAAAACCTCTCGCTTTTGTTAATGTCTCATCCTACATTTATTATTAAATGGTCTCCTATAACATTCAGAAATTTAATCATTTCTCCTATTCCTAAGAAATGATTTGATAAAACTAACTTTGTAGTCGGTTGAAAAAAGGCTCCATACCCAGAAGAAAATGGATTATAGAAAAACGATCAAATAGCGAAGCTCAACATTTTCTAAACTCTTGATGAGTCAGGTAGAGACAAGTACTAGGGGGAAGGAGAAGCACAAGGGGTGGGTGGTGTCCAATGAATGCTGAGCTTGCAACCAAGTTCTTTTGTATATCTTGGTCAAGGAAAGCCCTCATGAGAAGGTGGCGTCTGAGCAGGTATCTGAGGGGAGAAGGTTCAGAGAGTTGTTTATACAAAGTTAAAATGTGCCTCCCTGGTAGCACAAGGGTTAAAGACAGCACTCTCAAGCTGTCTTGAGAGTTACCAGCCACTACAGCAGAGTCTGATCCCTGGTCAAGAAGCTGACCCACATGGTGCAGCAGACCTCTCCTGTCTTACCCACTGCTCCCCTGAGTAGTCATTTCAGTAGATCCGCCTGTTCTGCTCCCCACTCTGTTTCTGATGAATCCTCTCACCCCCCCCCTTCTAGCTTACATCCCAGTTCTTAAATGCATAAATAAATCTTTAACAATAAATAAATAAAATGTGACTCATATAAACTGAAGAGACACAAAGATTTTATTCTACTCATTCATTGATAAATGGATCATTTATGTTAACACTGAGTAAATCACATGGGCACACCAGTTCAAAGACCATCTGAAGAGAAAATTTCAATAACAGTGTTAGAATAGGGAAGAGTGCTAGGCTATAGACTAGTGACTGACAGAGCAGTAAGTAGGATCCTTAGAGATTATCTTTTCTAACAATAATTATTTGCATATATTCTAGGATAGAAATTAATTAACATGTGATGTCAACACATCTGAGAAATTTGATCGACAATAAACAGTGAGTCAATAAAGCACATTCTGCGATAAAAATTCTTGGGTGGAACTACACAATGTCCCCGATAGGTCACTGAAAGGACACACAGCTCACTCTTTTCCTTATTTTCAAGCTTTACATACTCTTTTTTTCACACAGGTGTTTGGAGACAGAGCATTCTCACCCTTTTTCCACCACAATAACCAAGGAATACACTCCCAACATTATCTCTACATGAGCTGCCACATCTGGTGTAAGGACACAGCGACAGGTGAGCTAGAAATGCCAAAAAACTTGAAAACATGCACAGGGAGAAAGAGAACCAAAGTTAGGTCATGGTCTAATTTGTCTTTTTAAAACACAACTCTGCCTGCTGACATAGACTCATGAGGGAGAAGAATAAGGGTGGTAGCTAGACGACTACTTAGGAGGCCAGTGCAATGACTGAGATACACAGATGGGGAATACAGAGCTTGTCAGATGAAAACGGTGCTCACGAGGAAAACAGAGCAGGACACAGGAAGGCGGAGGGGATGTCCGCATCCCTGGGTCTCTCTCACAAGGCACTGGTCGCAGGCAAACACAGAAAATCAGGGAAGTGTTCCAGACATGGGGATAAAGAAAATGATGGAGGAGAAAGGCAGGGAAAGGTCAGTGAGAAGGGTTATGATAGAACACAGGGCTGTGAAACTATTTTAAGGACCTACTTGGTTTTTAGTTTGGGCGAGGTGAGAAACCACTGAAGGTTTCAGAGCAGAAAAATGACATGATCAGCTTAAAGTACTAAACAGATCACAGTGGCTGCAAGGTGGAGCATGGTCTGTAAGCAGGCAATGACAGAAGTGAAAAAATGAGTTAGTGCTTACTTCAGTATTCCAGAGAAAAGCAATGAGGGCCTAGAGTAGGTGGGTGGCAGTGATGGTGACGACCACCAGTTAAACCTGGGCATTTCTAAGGTCAAGCAAACGGGTTTTGCTAAGCAGCAGATGTGGGGTAGCTACAAAAAAGAAGATAAGTGGGGGTCAGTCTCAGCAACAAGATTGAGTTGCCACCTACTGGAGTGGGCAAGACAGCAGAAGAAACAAGCTTATAAGAAGATACCTGCACCTCTGTGTTTATTGCAGCACTATTTCAATAGGTAAGATATGGGAACAAGCCAGATGCCCAAAAATAGAATGACTGGATCAAGACGATGTGTTTTTTATACACACACACACACACACACATATATATATACACACACACATACACACACACAATGGAATATTATTCAGTAATCAAAAAAGATAAACTAATGCCATTCACAGCAACATGAATGGAGCTAGAAGGGATTAGTTTCAGCAAAATAAGCTGGAAGAAAAAAAATCAGATGATTTCACTTATAGGAGGAATATAGAAGAACCAAATATGGGATAAGGAAAAAAATAATAACATTAATTTTTAAAAAAATTAGCAGGCAACTATAAATCAGAGATATTTTGCAAGGGAGGGGGAGGCAGAGGGATCAAAACAGGGGAGGAAAGAGCACGAGGGACTACGGTGACGGTACACAGGTGAATTGGTGGTGGGAATTTCACTGGGATTACACCTGAGAGGAGAAAGTATGCAATGCACAAAAATGAACATTGATGTAAAAAATATATATAACTTTTAAAAAAAGATTTCAGGAAAAGAGAAGGCATTGATTACCAAGACTTTATGAAAGAGGCTAAATATTTCAGCCTGGGTTTAGAAGATTCTAAACTTTTCAAATGAAATCACAATAAGAAAAGTTAGAATGTACAATTTCCAAATTTTACCAGAAATAGTACTTCTCTCCAAATTGATACTAATGTTACTGGCTTCTCACAGACTCACACTTTTCAATGGTCTTTATCAAAGGCATCCCTGCTGGCAAGTGTCTGAAATATCAAGCTAGCATCCACTTTTCACTCATGAAGTTATTTATGATTCACTGACAGCAATTTTTGAAATTATAGTACATGTTTAGACAAAAAATCTGCATATAAAATTGTAACATGGCTGGGCTTACCTGAAGTTCTTTGTATCTATCTTGAAAAGAAATGGCCTCTTGCTCTTTTTCTTTAAGGAAATCTTTTTCTAAGATACTATGCTTTTCCATCAATGATTCCACATCCTAGAAGAAAAGCCCCAGCACAAATTTTATAATATTTAATGGCACAAAAATGCTTTTATTCTAGAAAGTATCTGGTAGGGCAACAACCTTAGGACTTTAAAAGTGCAATAGTGTTACAGATTGTTATATTCTCACTTCCAAGACAGTATCAAAAGCTAACACTAAAATTATTGAGTCCAATAAAGGAGTAAAATATCTCAACTAAGTGCAATCAACACAGTCTATCTCTATGTATAATTTCCATACATTTCTTAGGGTCTTTTTATTAGGTGTATTTGCACAGAAGGGAGAGGCAGACATAAATAATTTACTAAAACTACTGTTAAGTACTCTTTCTTGTCACATCCCCACAATGCCTCACTCCCACAGGGACTAGTCAGTCTTGCCGTAACACTTTCAATCTGCTGAGGATATGCCTGCTTTCAAAGCAAATAAAAATAAACCAGAAGGGAAGCATTAGCACTAGAAGGAAAAATCTACTAAAGTATATTCATTTACTAACAACCCAAAGGCTTTCCTAGGTGATAAGCTAATATGATTAATTTGAACCCACAACCAAGGAGGACACAGTACCTCCTTCCACTGATGAGTTTTTATTCCATTTGGGAACATATCAAATTTCCAGTACATATAATCCAAAAACTTATTTTTCTTAAAGACAAATGTATATATACCTTTTTAATTCTCTGTTTTTCTTCTTCAGAAACTTTGAGCTTCATCTCCAGGCTTGAAATTTTCTGCTGAAGCTGTCTATTTGACACATTGGCTCCCAGAGGCTCAGAATCATCCACAAGAGCAATTGTTCCATTACTTTTCTCATCGGTTAAACCCAATGGAAAAAGTGAGATATCCAGATGAGTATGTGTTGATTGCTGCATCTAGACCACATGAAAAAAAAATACACAAGAGGGGAAAGTTTACACTGTACCAATAATGAAAACATCCAAAGAGCACCAGAAACCGCATTTGGAATTAGGTTGTAGCAAAGGTTCCGGAATTATTTCCCCCTTTAAGTAAAACAACTGAAGACCTCAAGCTGTTACAACAACCTGATCTTTGCAGTAAGAAACAAAATTTCCCCTAAAGTTTGAAGTCTAACTCTTATTTTGCAAGCCAAGTACTAAAAAGCTTAAAACTTTATCTTATGTTTGAAAGTATACCAGATGCTCACCAGTTCTCTAATTTACACACACACAACCTCACCATGGTTTTTTCATATTTTAAATCATGAACAAGAATTTGAAATGTCTCAGTAAGCTGTGACTCGTCATCCTACTCCACGACAGGTAACAGGTGACTGCAGACCCACCCCCTGTACCTCTGCACTATGTTGCCAAGCACAACACTTGGCTAGGTAAATGCCTCAACAGATCTCAACACTCCTGTCTCCTTGGACTTTAATCCAAAATTGGAATGAATGATCTAATACCTGAAAACCTGCTAAGTTTCCCTGAAAAGAGAAATTATTACTATTTTTGTAATTATTTTTCTTTTTGAGGTTAAAGATCTGAAGTGCAAAGCTAAGCCAACTTTAACAAATGAGACACTCAAACTAAATTTTTATAATTAAAGCTACTTAAATACCTTGCAACTGTGCCATAAAACACATTTATCAGCTTTGGAACCCTAGATAAAGCCTCAGAGTTAGAATACCTATAGAAACATTTCTTTCATAAAATAAGGAAACAAAGAAGTCAGAAAAGCTTCAATTAAATCCATGCAATCCTTTTTTAAGTATGCAATTTCCTGTAATAGCGCACTGGTCTTTACCTGTGCTGCAGGGACAGGCTGACTGACAATGTTGTTGTCTGCATGTGTGTTCTCTGGTGATGAGATGGACTCAGAGAGGCAGCCAACTGGAGAAGAGGTGTGGTCATGGTCCAGGACAATCTCAGAAACTGGGGAGAGATGGACACCCGAGACTAAAGGAAAATAAACAAACAAGGGTAGGGTTGTTAATGAGAAAACAGAACAGGTTGATGGAGAGAGAAGACAGAGAGATAACGGGAAAAGGGTAAGGGACATAAAAAGCAGTAATACTGAAAATAAAGGTTCTAGGACTATTCCTCAGGGACCATTACCTAAAATCTAAATTTAACATGACATTTCTGGGAAACATCCAGGCAAAGAAATCAATTTTATAAAACAAAACAACTTAATAATGTCTTAGTGCTTATACATTAACACTGCCACTTAAAGCACATTTCCAACTCAGAAAAGGGATCTGATCTCTCCTATCTATTCATTCAGTGGAGAAAGCGCACCTTGTGCCTGCAAGAGCCACACACAGGCACCGGGCACTAAGGGGAGAGCAGTGAGCAGATGAATGCACACACTCAGAGGCCGTTGACCTAGGAGTCAAGACAAACTCACTAAAAATTATCACAATAGTAAGAGCTAATAGGAAAGAACAATGACCTTGAATAACTAATCCAGCTGTCTATTCATTCACTTCTTTTGCAACAAACCCAAAAGATTTTCCATGTTAAAATACATTTTAGTTTGCTGAACTGCTTATACAAAACATAGAATTGAAATATGTTTCTGTATAACACAGTATCAGAATGTGATGAGGGTTCAACTACAAAGTCCATGAAAGGAAAGTCAATGGCCGGGCATGAAATCAGACAAAAATATGGATGAGGGCAAAATAAACAGGCTATATTTATAATTATTTTCAAACATTTTTTCTAAAAATGTCCATGATATGTCTTAAAAGTTTGAGGAGTAATAACTAAATCATTTTTAGCATTTACACATATTCACTTTCTAAATGATAAAGACCTTTATTCCACATTGGCATCAGTAGCAACATCAGCGAAGTCCTATTATAAATTCTGGAAGGCAGTTCACAATGGAAAAGGAATTTTTCCCTGAAGAAAGACATTTACAAGGTCATTAGGATTTAATAAACTAAAAAATAATATTTTATGATTGGTAGCCTATGGGATCATCTCATTAGCTTAATACACTTTCACTGTGTGGCTCCTGTATCTTTAAGACACTACATGCCACACAAAGTAATCCTCTCCTTGAAACTCACCTTGGTGCCTCACCTCCAGTCTCTCTTAGACATCTTCCTAACATCGTCACTTCTCTTTGCCTACTCCAAGTAAAAACTCATTGCTTCCTACATCCTCTGGTCTTCCAATGTTCAGAACAAGCTCACTGCCTTCAAAATCCATTATTTACGTGATCACTTATAAACTAAAGACACCTAAATTCACATCTCACACAAACTGCTCTGCAGACCTCCATGTCCACATTCTCTGCTAAGTACCAGCCAGTTCCATTTACCTGTCTAATCGGTAAAGCAAACTTACCCATCATCTTATATAAACCTGCTTGGCTTCAAGCTGTCCATTTTAGTTAACAGTATCACAATGAACTCTTCGCCCAAATCAGAAATGACACCACTATGTGCCTGCTTCATTCCAGTCATGACAGTTAAGCGCTCTCTGATTATGCCATACACTTCAAAACCTCTGTGACCTCATAATATTACTTCCCCACTAAAAGCCATAGCTGTGGAGTCAGAAATGGATTCAAATTTCAACAATAGTAATTTATTTATCAAATAGACTGGCAAATTACCCAAACTCCTAAGTCACAGTGACCTCTTCTGAAAACGAGAAAATACAAACAGTATGATACAACTTAAATTACATAACGTATACAAATCACTTAGCTGTGGCCTCAGCATAAGAACAAAGAGAACAGTAAAGAAATATTAAGAGGAAGAAGAGGAATAGGAAGAGAATGAGAAGGTAAAGTGAATGTGGTAAAATGGTAATAACAATAAAGAGAATGAAAGGTTTATTGGAATTAATTTTCCATATCTTGCAGGTTTTTTGTTAAGTCAAAATAAGGTTAAAGAGCAAAAAGGGAAAATATTTAATAAAAAAGAAACAAGAAATACAAAAAAACTACTCTTAAAGGGAAAAATAACTGGCCTCCACAATCGACTTTTCTACACAAAACTGCTGAGTACAGACTTGGCATCGCTGAGCACTCCTATCAGTCTGCATGTTACAGTGAGAACAGACTAAACACCCATTGAGAGTCCATAGGTTAAGTGCAATGGAGCCTAATTAAACTTTAGAGCATCTCATATCAGCAAAAGCACAACAACCATGGAAAGGGCAGCAACATCAGAAACACACATATGCTGCTGAAGGGAGAGAACCTATGCCCGACACATATACAGGGTTGTAAACCAGTGTAACCTCAGTAAAAACAAGTGCACACACAAACTTGTGAATAAACCAAGAAAGAGAGAATCAAAACTGAGTGAAAAAAAGAAAATCACAGAAGAGCCTGCATGGCAAAAATGCATAACGCCTATTTGCAAACTCTTTAGACATATATGTGTACATATACTCACTTTTTTACAAAAGCAAAGAAATGGTAATAAAAATTTCCCTCTGGGTGCAAGCACATGGACAGGACAGTGGCAGAGTACTAACAACTGGCTGTGACCTAGTTCTTCAGTTAAGTGGTGGATTCATATGTTTAATTTTAAACATGAGGAAAAAATAATCACACAAGTTTAAAAGTATAATTTTGAAGAGTTCTTGTTGCAGTGCTCTTTCTAGTTGCAGTCCTCGAATCCCGGGGGGCTACACTATCCCTCCATTCAAAACTTGCTCTATGTCAATCAGATAGGAAAAAACTAACTCAAACTAGATAGCACTAAGGGCCAAATAGTTTATTCAAAGAGGTGATTCTTTTGTGAGAAGATGTCAAAATTAGCCTTTCTGACATCCTGCTAATCACATCAACACATTCCTGAGGAAAGCTGAACCTAAAATGTCTAGAACGTATGTTTTTCCTTCATTGTATTAATTTGTCAGTCCTGTATGTAATTATATCTCTTGGGGGCACACCACCATAGGTGCACATGCTCCCCATGCGAATTTTTAACTTACAACCAGTGGAATTTTCAGAGACTTAATTTTGTATTATGAATGTTTACTAAATATATCAGAATCTACATTCTATTTTAAAAATGAAATGAGAAAATAAATGAGTAGTGCTCTGAAAGAAAAGAGAACATAAAAATGTACTAACCTGTAAGGAGAAACTAGTTTTTGTGATTCTCTGATCATTAATTGCCTATTATCTTTATTTGAAAGATATTCATAGAGGTAAAAATTGTTTATTTTTCTGTTCTTCTACCCAACAGGCCACCCATAATCCTGCATATAAATTTTTAAAAGAATCCCTGTATTATCTTTTAGTCACTCAACGTAAGTCACAGCTATATATAGTAAGACCAGTTATTACCTTACAGACAGAATTTTTTACAATCTCAGGTTGTGAATGCAATATTTCAGTCTAAATTAAACTGTAACACCAGAGTTCATTTTAAGCATGAAGGTTAAGTGAGTGTTGATGGTATTGTGGTGAGCACAGCTGCCTTTCAAACATGAGAGGTATATTAAGGGGGGAAAGTGGGAGAGCAGAAAAATGGGCAAGTAATGTATAGTCATTTTAAATGTTTTGACATATAAATCATAATTCTCTGAAATTATAGTGGACTTCTCTGAAATTATGACCCTTTATTTTCACTCAACTTTACAATATTATGGGGAAAAAAGCCCACTTAAGTGTTGTACTACTATGACTATTTGCATAAATGGAGATAAAACCAGAAAGAGTTATGTACTCTCTGTTCTGGTTTGTACATAGAATTTCAAAAGGCAAAAAGCTGCTCAAATCAGAATGATTTTTGAGACAAAGCTTTTTTTAAGAATAAATTAACGTTTGGAGGGTTGACTAGATTCAAAAAGCACTTATTTGGAAAATCATATTCTTTTTATATTCCCAAACAGGCTAATAAAAGTACACAAAAGCAAGTCCCACAAAGGAAGATATGTCATCCTATTTTAGGTCAGGTCGAACTACTCAGACTAACATGGGGGTGTGTGTGTGTGTGTAAAGAGAGAGAAAGAGTGAATAATATGTGCTAGGTGAATGAGTCTTCACCTTCTAACAGATTCTTCTGAAAGTATAAAGCAGCTATGAATTTTTCTTGCTGGCAAAGTACATATACTAACGCATACTGAATTCTGTGTACAACATGAGGGGCTGCTGGATGTCAAATCTAGAAGGCTTTAAAAAAAAAGATAAAAGGTTTCCCATAACATACAAAGAAATTATTGTAACTCATAATAGAAGACACAGAAAATTAAATACAAAGGAGAAAGGGATGGCAACTATCTTTATGCAAGACTTCACAAAGGACAAGATCCCTAGGTAGACTTAAAATGTAGCAAACCTTGCCAGATAAAGGAAAAAACAAGAGAAAGAGGAAAATTAATATCTAAATAGTACCAACTCAGACGGAGATATGTGATTTTTTTACATCGATATTATCATTTTAATGTGTATACTACCTATCAAGCAGATGAATACATAGCTGTAGAGAGCATATAATTATATGTGTGTGCTCATACTTGACTCCACAAGCACTTCCTCTCAGCAGGTAAGGAAACACATACTTGAAAGACTAAATGACTCAGCCACGGTTACAGAGCATTTAATGGAGAAGCTGGGATTCCTTCCCAAGATGGTGTAAGTCTTACTAGGACTTTTTAGGACAAACAGGACAGCATAAGCATAATAAGGTACATGAGCCAAAAGCCTCAGAACATGCTTAGGGAACAAGTGCTTACAATGAAGAAACATGGTGAACAGAGGTCCCAGGGTCACCAATGAAGCGGAAGAACAGTGATTGAGCTAGCTGGCTTATGCACATGAGGGAACTGTGATTTTATTCATTAAGTAAAGAAATATGTGTGTAGGGCCTCCCTGGTGGCACAGGCGGTTGAGCGCCACACTGTGAAGCTGTCCGCAGCCTCTGCAGCGCGGGTTCAATCCCAGCCTGCTGGTGAGGGCCCCACATGGCGCAGCAGATCTCTCCTGTCCCGCCCGCTGCTCCCCTCAGCAGTGTATTTCGTCAGTCTGCCTATTCTGTTCCCCGCTCTGTCTCTGGTGAATCCTCTCACCCTCCCGTGCATCCGGCCTGTAGCCCAGTTCTTGTATAAATAAATAAAAATCTTCAAAAAGGAAAAAAAAAAGAAAAGAAATATGTGTGCAGCTTAAAGCAGAAAAAGAAAGGATGTGTTATGTTCCAGACATGCTAACTGAGGCACCAACAGAACCAGGTAGGTAGAAAGAATCTGAACCTCTGAAGAAAAGCAAAAGTAAAGGCACAGACCTGGATATCCTCAACATAAAGATTTCATCAGTGAACAAAATAAAAGAGTCATGGACAGAGCCCTAGAAAATAGTACTATTTATTATTTATTTATTTATTTTTTAGAATTATTAATTGAGTATTTATGTCAATCTATGAGTATGAATTCAGACACTGGTTTCTGGAACTCCCACATGCTCCAACTGGCTCGTGCTGGTTCAGGAGAGCCAACTGTGTAACATTGTTCTTCACTCTATATATGGTGACATTATTTTGGTAACCTGTAATTGCCTATGGTAGGCTTACTTATACCATAGAAATTGAAAAATGCTACAAATCAAAGGTTTTCCCTGCAGAGGATTCAATCTTTAAATATTCACGAGCACAGGACAAATCTAGTTTTAGAAATTTCTATCCAGGTGTGAAAGTAGCCTCTATTGTTTGATTCAATATAATGAATGTGATGTAGAAATCATCCCTTTGAGAGGCCACTAAAGATTTCAAGTCACAGGGGCCCCTTATTGTTAATATTGTTTTACTACCTTGGGGCAACTTCCAAACTAAATGATTCTCACTCTATACATCATTAGATGTCTTTTTAAAAAAATATCTCATACTATTTGTTTTCTGAATGTTGGTTGTCTTTCCCTGTATTTCTTTTTTCTCATTTCTCCAATTTATTATTCTGGGGTGAAAATTTTTTTTTTAATTAATAAATTTTATTTTTATATTCCCCATACAATTGCAATCCCCCCATTCTGACCCCAATCCCTCCCCTCCCGCCCCCCACCCCCCAAAAAGTGTCTCTGGTTCATAGTTTTTGTTGATTTTGATTTTCACTTTCTTATAGTTATTCATTTTCCTGGTCCCTTATTTAAGTATTCTAGATTCCTGCTATGAGTGAGACCATCCGGTATTTTTCTTTTTCTTTTTGGCTTATTTCACTGAGCATGATCCCTTCCAGTGCCATCCATGTTGCTGCAAATTGCATGTGTTTATCTTTTTTGAATGCTGAGTAATATTCCATGGTATATATGTACCACATCTTCTTGATCCAGTCATCTATTTTTGGGCATTTGGGCTGTTTCCAAAGCTCAGCTATTGTAAATAGTGCTGCTATAAACATAGGGGTGCAGGTGTTCTTTGGAATTGATGTTTCTTTGTTCTTTGGGTAAATACCTAGGAGTGGAATTGCTGGATCCTGTGGAAGCTCTATGTTTAGTAGGTCCAGAAATCTCCACACAGCTCTCCATAGT